TCGCTCCTGCGCCGCGCGCGCCTCGGCGAGGCCTCGGACAGCGAGCTGGCCGACGCTGACCGCGCGTCCGTCGCCTCCGAGGTGTCCACGACCAGCTCGACATCGAAACCCCCCACGGGGAGGCGCAGCATCTCCAGGATTGATTTGTTGGCGCAGCCTCGGAGAGCGCGGCTGGGCTCGCTGTCCGCGCGCAGTGACTCCGAGGCTACCATCTCTCGAAGTAGTGCCTCTTCTCGGACCGCAGAAGCCATCATCAGGAGTGGAGCCAGACTAGTACCTTCCGATAAATTTTCTCCCCGAATTAGAGCCAACAGTATCTCTCGACTCTCGGACTCCAAGGTCAAAAGTATGACCTCAACGCATGGCTCGCCTTCAGGTAAATTGGATCCAGACTTCTTATAATACTAGCATATTTATTTTCTGTTTTGGAGCTCCTTTTTAAAAAAATTATATCTCCAGTGTTGCTTCCCAAAATATTCAACAGAAAGCTTCCTCTTTAGAGGATCCTTTCCTATAAAAATTATTTTATTTAGCTTAGTAAATAGAAAATTCAGAAGTTATATACACTTCCAATCAATATCCTGGAATAAAATAGTGCTTTCAAAATGAGAGGTATTCTGAACTGATTTAGGAGATTTAATTGTCTAATTGGTGAGATATCTGGATTTGTCAAAATTAGATGAGGAATTATTTGGTTTAGATAATAGGAATTAACATTGTGCTCCTAAAAGCATATGTTTAACTTTCCAGTATCCTCACCTAATCCAAAGCCCTTATGAACCGGAAGAAAAGCAGTGTACCTTGTATTACTCCTCTCAGCGCTAAGTAATCGATATTTTACTCTTTTTTTCCTATTCTGAAATGTCTGATATAGCTTACTTGTACTTTAAAAAGTTAGATCTGTTGACGGTTGGGCAGGTGAAACTAACCCTTGATTTATTTCAGTGGAAGAAGATGGATTCGTGAGGCAGTCCCTAAGCACATGGTCACACTGGGCTATAGAAATTGTACAGGTTCTGAGCATCATGTCACAAGGCACTGTCATAGCATTTAACTGTAGTAATTAGCTGTCATCAGTAGTAGCCTTTACAAAAACTACTTATATCTGTCTTTCTGTACCTCATATTGAGAGCTGAAGCCTGAGAAAATACCCATGACCCCTTCGGCACTGAGATATTTGTGTGTGTCCTGTAGACATGGTCTTGTTACTTCATAATCAGCCCTGAACATGGGTGTGGCTGAAAAGGCCAGTGGGGGGAACCAGCTGTTAGCACCTGAGGGTTCACTGTCCTCAGTCAGCAAGCATCTTGGTGAGCCCCAAGTCCCAGGTTAGCATGATGGGAGAGTCGGTACGCAGACTTTTCTTTTTATTTCTACACCTGCACAGCAGAGCCTGCAAGACCCAAAACGAACAGAGCTTGCTTTGCATAGGGCAGTGTTTTCCCTTGTTACTCCCCTTCTTTGCTGCTTTCTCCACTCCACTCACCTTTCCATCTCTGTCCTGGTCGAGGGTGCGCTGATGATGGTAGGAACGTGTGTAGGCTCAAGAGAGATGGCATGTAATCATGGTTCCAAAAAGAACAGATGACTTTTCCCCACTACCCCCATCCTCCTGCTTCCACACTTCAAGCTTTGGTGGGCGGTTCATAGATTTATTGCCAAGTGTTTTAAAACTACTATCTCTCGATTTATGTTTACTCAGTGTTACTCTGGTGTTCCTTGTGGCTCTTCCTCTTCAATTCACATTTCCTTTGTGCTGCATTCTGTGGGGTGTCCTCTGATAAAATGTCTTCAGTTGTGTGCTTTGTCACCTCGTCTGTAAGGTCATAAACACATTGAAGTACTCTTCTGTCCTAACATAGGCTGTAACATAAGCTGTGTGGTACGCAATTGCACAGAACACCTCTTCCTCCTGCCCTGGTTGTCTAGCTCTTAACACATGAGTGGTCTGATGATATTCCTGCGTTTAATTTCAGGGGCTTATTTGAGATGCAGACCAAATGTGATGACTTGAGCAAGTCTAAGAGATGGCTTTAAGCTGTCATTAAATATACATCTTTAAAGATGAGTTGCATTTTGGCTTCTTTGAACACAGAACTCGATAAACATGCAGTCTTCTATGTCCAAAAATACCTTGAATTGCTTACAGAAATTCTCTAGGGCAAATTGAGATGTGGGGTTTGCAGTATATTAAGTAATTGAAATCATGGACTTTAATAGCTAGAAGGGTTATTCATTTAAGGTAGCTAAGGCCAGGAGGTGAAATCAGCTGCCCTGGTCACATAGCTGTGGCAGGGACAGGATGAGACGCCAGGGCTTTTCATTCCAGCCTGTTGCTTTTCCCGCCACGTGCAGTATAGCTCTGAGAAATAGCCTGTCCACTTGCACGCAGGCTGCTGGAGGACTGCTCACTCCAGTGCATTATCACCAGGAGTGCACACAAGGCCAGTATACGACATAAACAGCCTGGTGGTATTCACCATGGTCTTTGTAATTCTGCTGTTTTACCAAGTTTGTGTTCCTCCTGGTGAGCCTAAAGCCTCATTGTGACCCAGGATTGTATATCCAGATTCTCTCAAGATGCCCATTTATGACATTTTATTTAGAAAGACAATGGCCAGGATATTTCAGTCAGTGGTAACATTACAATAGCTACATGGGCCCTGGCTGGGTAGCTCAGTTGGTCAGAACATCATCCCATATGCCAAGGTTATGGGTTCAATCCCAGGTCAGGGCATATATAACTCAACCAATGATGCATAAATAAGTGGAACCACACATTGATGTCTCTTTCTCTGTCTCTGTGTCTCTCTGTCTCTCTCTCCTTTCCTCTCTAAAATCATTAGAAAAAAAATTTTTTTAAATAGCTATATGGGTAGGTAGTAAAAACAACAAAAAGCAAACATACTTTTCTGATGTTGCTAATTGAAGTGTCTTTGATATTACGATATTTCTCCTTAAGATAATAACAATATCTTGCATGGAAACAGAAAATAGCAGCGTACTCATTGAAACCATACTGATCATTGTTGCTGTGCACACTATAAACTTGGAAGATCTTCGAAATATCTGAACTCAGAGCCTGTGATATTGCCCAAACTGGCATATGTAAAAATCATGCCATAATGCAAATTTCATATTTTAGGCTATGCCTAAAAGAGTTTTTAAAAAATGTGTATGATAAAAATAGACGCATGGAAGTCTCTGATTTAGCAAAATTAAGAATGAAGTTTCTTTATTTCTTCTTAAATTCTGATATAATTTACTTTTAGTTTAACTAGTAGTTTTTTCCAAAAAAAAATCCTTCAGTGACCCTTTAATATCAAGTTATATGGAAATATTCAGATCTGTTCTAATAAGATATATTTTAAACTTACTACCCCGAGTGATCAAAATAAAGCTGTTGGTTTTCATTATGTTTTAAGTTCACATTCTAAAAACTAAAAACATGTTAACATCCTTAGAATTTTTTTAGACTGTTTGCTTTCCCATTTTTATTCTACTCTCAAAATTTATAGATGGGAGGAAATACATGTTGGGCATGCATGACTTAAGTTATTTCTTTCTCCAGGTCGAAGACCCACTATAAGAGCATTGTCAGGGATCTTTCCTCAAACGATCTGATTGCTACCTGCTCAAAATACACATGCAAAATGTGTTTGTGGTTTAAATTCCCACAAAAATATTCTTATGTAAAATATGAAGATGTGTTCGTTGGCTGAAATGCTTTTGGTACATTTATAAATGTGAATGTGTTTTAAAGGCAACAAAGTTTTGGTAACAAAGAAATCAGAGAATTTGCAGCTAAATGATCCTAAGAACTCTCTTTCCCTGTTTTAATTCTGTAAACATCATGGTATGTTTTTATAGTGAATACAGTTTGTATTACTTCCACAAGAGGCAGTGTTGCATAATTTTACAACTAAAATAAGTTTATAATTAATATAGCTGAATTAATTTTCAGGTTAGCTGCAAAACTAGTTAAGCTCACCTTAGAACTTTCTCTCATTTTATTATATGTGCTATTCAGCATCACGCCACCCAAGAAATCTCCCGGAGATTGGCATTTCAATACCTCAATACATATTTTCAATCTAATGATTATCTGAAATGCCTTAGTGGTGCCAATTTATCAAATAAGCCTAATGATATCAAATTAAATTTAATTCTGTAAATGATTTTACCTAAGCAAATAAAATTCAAGAGGAGGAATTTTTAATAATAACATTTTTCTTCAATACAGGTAGAAGCCTGAAAATCTGTCATTCTATGAGAAATTGAATATGCCTTTTTTTAAAATTAGTCTTAACTGGAAATGTGTAAAAAAAAATAAAAAATAAAAATTTCTGACATTCACTTGTAAAGCAATTGGAATAGTAAGGGATGAGTCTTGAACTCTGGGAGCCAGTAGACCTGTCTTAAACTTTGAGTTAAACAAGGCAAGACCTCTCTGGGTCTGTTTCTTCTCTATGAATTGAAGAATCTGGACTATCTGATGTCCAAGGTCATTCTTTTCTAAAAGTCTATGAAATAAGTAGGCATTCAGGAAAGTTAAAAACACTCTACGTAGCGTGAAGTTTCTTTTGCAAGAACTAGCAGAGTGTAGATCTTCAGATAAAATGTATAGCTGCTATAGTTTGGGAGCAAGGATTAAGAAAGTAAAAAGGAATTAAAGAAGTTCTTTGAGAAATAACAGGTTAGAGGTCCTGATGTTAAAGTCCCTTCCCCAGTCCTTTTTCCGCAATAGTCGCTTTACTGCATTTTAACTCCACTCTGTGCTGTTATTACATAAGCTAAGTGGTGTTCACAGGTACCTTGAGCTTTGCTACCTAGTACCTAGTACGCTGTGCTTGGTTTGTTCACTGCTGGTAAAGCTAANGGTACCTTGAGCTTTGCTACCTAGTACCTAGTACGCTGTGCTTGGTTTGTTTACTGCTGGTAAAGCTAACCCTTAATTATTTGAAGAGTATTATATTTTCATTTCTCTGCTATACCCTACTTACTTTCTTATTTTACCCTCAATTTTAAGAGAACAAACCTAGAAATGTTACCTTTCAGTTTTTAAAATATGCTTTATTCTTTTGGTCGCTTTTCCTTTTAAAGATGTTATTAGAAACTGTCACTATTCTTAATGGCTTCTTAGGTAGATCTAAAAAAATAAGTGGAAAGTTTAAAAATTTCTTTTATTTTTTTCTCTCTAAAATTTCTCGACTATTTTCTGATCTTGAGACTAAGACTATTAAAAGTTAATTCTAGCGTGGCTCTGCTTATCTACTGTCATGTGATGTGTAACATACTTTAGTGGCACGTGGTTCAAAAATATTAAACATCTGCTAACCAGACTCTCTGCTAAGTGCTAGCTGTACGCTGGTGGATTAAACAGGCATGGTCTCTGCCCTCATGGCGTTTACTGTAAATTAGTCATCATCTCTCTGTTTTTAACCTCTTTTTATGCTTCACAAATTGTTTGACTCTTATAACAGTAGTAGTGAAGTGTCTGCATTAATCTGTCTACTGACTTTTCAAATGTGATCTGTGCCTAAATGTCAGTGGTTGTTGCAAGTAGGTTGTAGAGTTTTGCTCCTCGTAGCTTTTATGCCATTGTCTATTTTCGCCATATGCTTTCCGTGTCAAAGCAGCAGGTTGTACTGAAGATGCTTTGTTGTGTTTTTACCATGTAAAAAGATTTTTTCCAATCATAGCATAACAGGATGTTGAGTGACAGAGGTAATGTTTTTTTTCTGCCATAAAGGCATAATTTCCACCGCAGGAATTATGCACGTTTGTATGTTGGGAAAAGAGGGGTTTTACCATCTCCGTGTTGAAAGTCCATGTGGCATGAAGAAATCTTTTCCCTTAATTATTTTTGTTGTTGTTATTGTTGCTGTCATTTTTTAAAAATCCATATCTTCACTTGAATGAGAAATATTTGCAATTCAAAAGTACTTGAGTTAAACATGTATGAATAGAGCTTGCTTAGTGTTTACCATTAGCGAATTTTTCATCTGAATGTTTATTCACCATATTACGGAAAACACAGTCTTTTAATTATTTTTAATTGTTCATTGTTTTTAATTTATCAAACTGTAATGTTTCTATCCTTAAGGAGTAGTAGACTTATGGTTTTTGTGAGGTATGTGTATGTCGGTTATTGAAAATTGTGCTGTGTGTGCTCTCATAGTGTTTTTGAGGTCATGATTTTTACTTTATCTCCTTTAAAGATAACATAATAATTCTTTTTTTAATAATTAAACTAATTTAGTAAATTCAAGATGGAGGCGCTTTCCTACTGATTATGCTTCCACCTCAGAAGATGAATTTGGATCAAACCGTAATTCCCCTAAACATACTCGTCTACGTACTTCTCCAGCCCTGAAAACGACTCGATTGCAGAGCTCTGGGTCAGCAATGCCTACGAGTTCTTCATTCAAGCACCGGATAAAAGAACAGGAAGACTACATTCGCGATTGGACTGCTCATCGAGAGGAGATTGCCAGGTTGGTTTTAATGGGTTATCTTTAAGAGTTGAGATTTTTTGCCAGCATTTCAATTCGATAACAAAATTTAGCTTTTATTTGACTTGTACTAATAGTCCAAGAAATGAAATCCACTGGTAACTGAACTTAGTTTTGTCGGAAGTATTACTGTCTGTTCATTTGTTTTCATTTCATATTCTCAATGCCAGTGTTACTAACATATTGTAGAATTAATTTATTTTGATTACTTTTTTACTTATGGTAGAGATGCTGATGAGTCAATATAATTTTTGAAAGATAGTATCAGCTCTACATAATTAAACAGTTGAGCGNATTCTCAATGCCAGTGTTACTAACATATTGTAGAATTAATTTATTTTGATTACTTTTTTACTTATGGTAGAGATGCTGATGAGTCAATATAATTTTTGAAAGGTAGTATCAGCTCTACATAATTAAACAGTTGAGCACTGGCCTAGGATCCAGGAGATCACGGTTCGATTCCCAGTCAGGGCACATGCCCCGGTTGCGGGCTTGATGCCCAGCAGGGGCGCACAGGAGGCAGCCGATCAATGACTCTCTCATCATTGATGTTTCTCTCTCTCTCCCCCTCTCCCTTCCTCTCTCTGAGATCAATAAAGATATATTTTTTAAAAAAAGAACTGTGTTATATTTTCAAGCCTAAAATATTTGCAGTTAAAATTATGAATTTGTCAAATCTTAACAGTAAAAATACCAAACTACTTGTAATTTTAATACCTTACTAAAAGCTTTGTTTTGATTTTGGTAAGAGCCAGTTTAATTTTGTGGCCAAAATTAAGTGGCGTAGGCTTCCTTATAGTCTGTAAAGTAATGTAATAAAACATATTTATGCATTACAATATATCTTAATTTTAAAGTCTTTTAATTGCAATATAATTAAAAGATATACTACATTTGTGTGGGGGGGATTGGAAGTGAGCTTTGAAAATATCTTTTGTTTCAGAGAAAAGACTATAGAGATAAAAATTATATTATCAGACAATAAGGTACATTTGCTCAGTTTTAAGACCTGATTTATTGGTTCACAATAGCTAAAGTCTAGTCCAACCTGTTTGTGTAAGTCTGTTGGGCTAGGCCAGCCCCAAACAGCAAGAGTGGGCGTAGAACACCTGTCCCCAAGTTCAGATGCCAGCCACTCTTCAGTTTGTTCCGTTTTTCAACATTTCCTAGTACTTTCAACATTTCTCATCGTACTCTCTGGCCTGAGGGCACCTTGTGCTGCTCTCTTGGGGTGTTTGCAGGATCTCAAATACTGCTCATTGAGTAAGGACAGTACTGTCCCATCAGATGACTCCAGGCCATCTTCTTGTGACTTGCAGACTTTGTGTCTCTGGTGGAGATGGTAATGTTTTTTCCATTAAGCCTTTCTCATTCAATTAGGAAATGTTTGTTGATGGCTAGCAGTTATCTTCTCACCAGTATCTTTTTTTTATGATTTGCTTGGCTTATTTCTGCATACTCAGAGGCCTAGTTTTAAGATTCTTTCTACATTTCACTGAGTATAACTTTACCTGTGGTGCTAAACCAGCATTCGGAGTTAGTTTCATTGACAATAACAGGAAGTACTTTTATATATATATAATTCAATCCCTGCCTCTTTTGATGGCCGGAAATGGATTCCATGTACTTTGATCCTCTATTTGGGCCACTCATGAGTTGCTTGGCTGCCCAAGAGAAGTCTCCAATTTCAGCTCATTATGATCCCACCCTAAACCAGTCTTTTGTGGCTCAGATGTTCCTTGAGCGTCCGCACGAGATGTGGTTTGCCATAATCCTTTTATGAAGGTTTTGCAGTATTGGATCCAAATGCCACCAACATATAGTAAATACAACTGACAGTCTCCACCAGAAGAAGAGGAAGATCTTACCAGTAGGAAACCTTTTCATGAACCTTCCCTCTATAGTCTAAACTTAGGTCAAATACATGAGTTAATCTTTAAGTCTGTTGAGAGCTTGCCTTTTTCTGATGCTTTATTATAGTGTCGAAGTCAACATAAGCTTGTCTGGAATGACCCTTAAATGTCTCTTCTTAAACTGATTTTATATTTATCACCCTGTCATTTTAAAACTAGACTAAGTTATTTATTAAAAGCTAAGTAATTAAAGTTGTAGTTATAGTCTCTTATCCAATGTTAAAGTAACAGGAGGTTTCATTTGTTGTCATTAGCTTCAGCGTTAGGAATATAAAGCTAGTAAACTTCATTCATTGCTCCTCGGTTCCTTTTTTCGAGTAATAGCAAAGGTCACCTCATTGTCGTGGTTTCTACGTATATCCTTTGGAACTCTACTTACACATGAAAACTTGTGAACTAGGCTATTGAAAAGATAAAGCAGACTTTATCCTTTATAGTTAATTTAAAACCTAGGAGTGGTTCTGTTGCTGGCAGTTTAAGTCAATGAAGCCTGATGGTTGGTTTCTGTGATGGCATTTAGAGCACTAGCAGACACTGCATGTTTACAGGGCCTGCGTATCACAAGGACTCTGATTTTCAGTATTTCTTTTAAACTTCCAGTATACTCAAAGCCCATTTTTAATACATTCCCCCCTGTATTTAACCCTTTGGTGAAAAAATAACTTTTAATTGATTTAGATAAGAGTGATAGTACTGAGATAGTTTATGCAAGAAAATCCCAAGCGTCACATTATCCCGCCTGTTTTACAAATGATGCATTGGAGGCTTGAGTACCGGCACTGCAGATGAAGCAGTTGGATTGCGGAACTCCAAATACAATGTGTCATTTTAAGAATTCCCTCCTCTACCAGATTTGATGGTGGGGAGACTGAGAATAAGAATGGGTGTTATAAATTTGGAGTTTAGAGAAAGCACAGATTCAGAGATGTAAAGAAATGCATTATTACAAAATACTCTATTAGTAATCTGGAAGCATTACAATTAATTTGTAAGATTATATTTAGCAGCCATATGAATAGAGTCATACCCTATATTGGATCCTAACTCTGCTATTTCTACTTGGAGATACTCATAATTTTTAAAAATAATTTGCCTTTTACTAATACTGGCTTTAGTAGATGTTGAGATTTTTAAGCAGTGCAGATTTAAATTAATTTAATGGTCTATATTATTAAGTCAACTTTAAGATATGAGTTGGCATGCAGAGAAACAGCTGGCGTATACAGAGCGTACTTGCAAATTAAAAGAAGGCTTTTTTAGTGCTTATTGACCGAACAATATTATGTTGTATATACACAGTTCATTTTAGTACAATTTTACTGCATAACATGTTGAGATTGCTGTGGCGTGTGTTTTTTCTAATTAATTTATGCTGCTGCTTACAGATGTCAGAAATTTCATTGTACAAATGTCTGCATAAAAAACTTGCAAGAACAAATAGATTTTTGTATAAGCTGATGATGATTATTTTTTATCTCATTAAGCCTGGTTATGCTGTTTCTCTCCCTTGTTCTTTTATTTCAGGAAATTGCAAGAATTGACTATATTACCTAAGGGTACACTTTAAACCCTCTCTCAAAAGAATCACATCAACATTGAACAAGTTTTTTAAAATTATGTATGGAATGGTAATGTCAGATACAGCATGACATAAAAAGACCTTGTTAGACCACTTACTCTGTGACCTTAACCAACAAATGGTCACATACCTCTCCTAAGCCTCGCTTTCCTCGCCTGTAAAACAGGATGATTAATTCTCTTACAGGTGGTTGTGAGAATTAGAGTTGATGCATATAAAGCTTTTTAATGGTGCTCATTATAATATAATAGAATGGTTTTGATTATACATAATAGGTTTTATTATAATGATGCTCATGACATCATCCTAAGCTTATTAGAGGGACCCTAACTGCTGCTCCGCCACTGTAGCTCTCGGGGCCTAGCACAGTGCCCTGCACATGATACGGAATCAGTAAATATTACACTGGTGAATAAAACAGGAATTGACCCCCAGTTGCTTCTGTTGGGCCATAAGTCTCAACTTGACTTCTCTTTTTAAATTTATAGATAAATTTTTTATGCCATTACTGCATTCCCTGTGAGTCTTTCAAACTCACATTTTGCATAAGTTAAAAAAAAAAGCTACATTGTACTTTGATTTTAAGGTGGCAAGGAGCTTTAACGTGCACTTTTAGAATGTTCTGTCTTCCCAAAACCTTCCCTGTGGAAGTAGCCAAGGTCGAGTTCATATGCAACGGATGCTTAACTTAGGAAACTTTCAAGATTCATGGAATTTAAATCTTTTTGAGAAAAACATTAATATCAGTGGTGGATTTTGTAAGTTTCTCCCTCTTAAAAACACAGCAGTAAAGGAAAAAAAATCTTTTTTTTTTTCCTTTGAGTATCACTGATGGCAGTTATTTAGCTCGTCATTTCACATGGCTGCTAACATAAGAAGATGGCTTTGTGGAAATGAGCTCTACACCTGGGCTCCGGTCCTGCCTTAGCTGCCTTTAAGTTGTGTAGTCGTGAGCAAGTCACTCAGCTTCTCCCAGAAAGTGACCTTATTCATAATCAATTAGACAAGCCCTACCTCACAGAACTTGGTGACCCTCAAATGACAGGTGTGTCCTGTGAGTGACAGACATAGTAGCTAGAAGTGCTTGCTGGTTCTCAGCCTCTTGTACATAGACCTTGTTGGCCCCCTGGGGGAGCTATGGAGCTCTTCTCAGGATAATCCTCACAAAATACTTAGAATTACAAAGAAATGCAATTATATTGAAATACTGCATAGTTACCAAAATACCATTGAAGTGATGTAGTGGTACATGGTTCTTTGTTAAAATACCCAAGTGAACGTTATTGCTGTGAGCTGAGTGACTGCAGTGATGTTGAAGAAGCAAGGACTGAATATTTTGAGACACCTGTGGCAACTATAATGTGATTTCTGTTGGTGTCGAAAATCACCAGTATTGCTGGTACTACTCTTGTTTGTTGCTTGTATTTATAACTGAAAAAAAATGCAAAGCTTAGTGCGGTTAGTGAAAATAAGAGTTGTAATGCCTTTTCTCCTCCAAGTCACTTCTTCAGGGTGTTTAATGTATATTTTTCAAAATAACAAATTGAGATTATATGGAATTTCATTTTATTCAGTTTTTGAGTTAAAGTTTAAGATTCCGAATATCAAAATAGTTCATAACATTTCCAAAGAATTTGAAGTTTGGGGTACAGACCTGTAGATACACAACTCACGTGACTGGTTCTATCATAAATGATTTTTCCTAGAGCTGTTCCTTAAAAGGGATTAAACTTCTCTTCTAAAATTATTCCCAGGATCAGCCAAGATCTTGCTCTCATTGCTCGGGAAATCAACGACGTAGCAGGAGAGATAGATTCGGTGACGTCCTCAGGCACTGCACCTAGTACCACAGTAAGCACTGCTGCTACCACCCCTGGCTCTGCCATAGACACTAGAGAAGAGGTAGGAGATCCTCATGGAGAAATGCATAAGGTTCTTTCTTTTCTTTATTTCTTTTGCTTTTAGCTTTTTGCTCCATTTATTTTACTTACATCCACCCTCCCCGTTTGCATGAGGCTCTGCATTTTCCATCTTTGCTTTAACAAATTGCTTTTACGTTTTTGTAACAATGCTGGTAGAGGCTAACATTTGGTCTACTATTAACAAGAAGTTGTGATATTTTTAAAAATAAGTACTTTGCTAATTATTGCTGCATAGTTTCACTTCAAGTATGAATATAAATGGCATGTGAAAAGCAGACCAGAATTTGATGTTATTGTATGAAGTTCTGTAAAGTTTAGCTATGAAAATACATCAATTACAAAGGTATTTTCATAGCTGTTTACTTAGGAGATAGCTCTAATAGCAGAAAAAGAAAAATTCTACAGTTTCACTACTTTAAATATTCTGTTGATGACTATATACACACACAAGGATACTTTGAAAATTGAAATATATGTACATACACACACAAATATTACATACATATTCAGTCTTGAAATGCTCTTGTAAACTCTCTGGAATGTAAATTAGCAGATAGACTATTATCCTTCCAGGTCCAGAGCTCCTGCTCTCGAGCTCTAGGGGGCGCCATTTACCTAGCATTGCTCCAGAAGGCAGCTTTAACATAACTTGGCCCTCTTGATTTGGCGCAGAGGTGCAAGCAGAAGATGGGCATTTGAAAGAATGAATGAAAGTTTTATTAGGACAAAGCCACACTCATTGTTTAATTAATTATCTTCTGGCTGTTCTGTGCTACGATTTCAGAATCGAGTAGCTGGACAAAGACTGGATGGCCGCAAAGCCTAAAATATTTATTCTCTGGCCCTTTACAGGAAAAAATTTGCCAGCCTCTGATATTGATGATTCCACTGCCTTAATTTATACAATAATGTTCTCAATAGTAACCCAAAATGGCTAGCCTTTGTGACAAATTTAATTCTGGTAAACCATGCTAATAATACTGTCTTCAGTTGCTTCCTATCACATTCCATCTATAATCTCCTTCTTTATGGTCATTTTTGAATTGTTTTATTTTCTCTGTGTGTGTTGTCTAATTTGGTAAATGATGTTTCATCAACCTGTGTAGTTTTGTTACCACGTTGATCAGCTGTAAACGTATATAAACTCATCCTTATTGGTGACAAACAAAAGGATCGTCTTGGTGGCAAGACATACACAGTTCTTTTGGTACATTTAAAAGGATAAAGATAATATTTTCTCAGCTGTCTAACTAAATTTCCTCTAACATGATTATACATTCACGCAGACCCAGTAAAACTACTCAGACATTTCATTGAATAGGCTTTCATTTTTCTTTTTTCTTTTCTAAATATCGTGGTAGAGTTTATTCCTTCTTCAGTAAACCGAGTTGCTTTTATTGTGCGGGTATATTTGCACTGTAGGTGGCAGTGCGTCCTCTCTGTTGGAATATGTCATGTCTGTAGCATTGTTAAAATTGTATCTGGTTAAGACCAAAACACTTCTTTCGTGGATTTAAAATTTTTTTCTTTTGTAAACTTAATTGGAATTTGCAATTTATATATCTGTGACGAAATTTAACGCCTGGAAAAAAAGAAAAAACAAGATGGGAAACTAAAAGAAAAAAGCATTATTTGACACTGGAAAGGCAACGTGAGCCAAATGAACTTGTCCATCTACGTGGCTCAGCTTTTCAGTTTACCATCTGTTTCCATTTGGGAGAAATCTTGTCCATGAAAGAATCAAATTTATGATAGCCATATGCTTTGGATTTGGGAAATAAAATCTATGTAGATGAACATCTATGTTACGAAGCGGACACCTTTGAGGTGCTTATGAAAAGAAAGATTAATTGGTTTATTGACGATACCATGCTTCTGTTACTACCTGAGAATGAAATAACTTCTGTCTGATCATAAAAAATTATAATGCCAATATCGGTGCTTTTCCAAATTATTCACATCAGGGTTTGCTCTTGTCCTAATAGTTGGTTGATCGTGTTTTTGATGAAAGCCTCAACTTCCGAAAGATCCCTCCGTTAATTAATTCCAAAACACCAGAAGGAAACAACTGCCGGCCTAGTGACTCGAGACCTCAACCACCCGAGCCTCCCGATCACTTAACAATCACGAGGCGGAGAACCTGGAGCAGAGATGAGGTGAGTTAGCAGGTGGCAGAGCAGGGCGCCCCACTGTGGGAAAGGGGGGACTGTGCTGTAAACGGCACTGGGGAGAGAGGTGCTTATCTTTACACGTAGAATGAAATTGCATCTTGACATCGCCCCATGTACAAAAAAAATGATAGTCATTGATTTTAGGATAATATGGATTGATGTTTGGAAGTGACAACATGGGAACTTCACAAGTTATTTAATCAAAGGAGCTCCTTTGGTAATATTTATTTCTTTCTCAACGTCATTATACATGATTCCGATTCTGTTCTCCATTGGTCTTTTATTAAAATTGGCATAAGTGCTAAAGGCCCCTCGATGCAGTGAGCTCGCCCAGCGTTCTTGGTGGTGATGCGGCACAGCGGTGATATTTTTAACGCCTGCTTCTCTCTGCCTGTTTCAGGTCATGGGAGATAACCTGCTGCTGTCGTCCGTCTTCCAGTTCTCTAGGAAGATACGACAGTCCATAGATAAGACAGCTGGGAAGATCAGGTACCGTGTTGTCGCTCAGACTTCCCGGCTTACAGTCGCCTGTTCCACATTTCTCCAGCTGCCACCCAGCTCCTAGGAACTAGGGGGGTCAGTGGCACTGAATCTTCCCGCTGCCCCACCAGCCCTTCCTTTCTAGATAGCAGTCTAGCCGTAGCGAGATCGGCAGCAAGGAGGGGCCAGCAAGAGACGTGGATGTCCCGGATAGCGACCCTTGTCGTTGGAAGTGAACAGCTGTATTCACTCAGGTTCATTTTATTAGTGACCAGAAACAATTTTCTCTTTTAAGACTGAAAATTTCTGTAGAAAGGCTTTAGGTGAAATATGTATGGTTTAACAATTTGAATCACAAGCATTATACCCGGTGACCATTTTCTGGCAAAATTCACTAAATTTTCAGCATTGTGTGGTTAAGCGTGGACTTCCTATATAGTATGAGTCCATTGTAGTTCTAAGCTGGTTCATGAAATAGTCAGTGTTTCCTTACTTCCCACCAATTGTAATGCTGTTCGGACTCTTACAATGCACAGAATTATGTGCTTAAGCCGTAATATCAGTCATTAGGATAACAGCTCTTAGGTGGCTGGCAAGGATGTTTATTTGGGGGGTTTAGAAAATTCAGCAGTGGATCAGAATGTTCTTATATGAGATTCTAGAACCATTATTGCCTTTTGAAGCATGGTTATGTGTAACCATAGATGTTCTAGACTTAATTTGATATTGGTGAATTTCTTGTTTTTAAACAAGTTGAACCTGGCCTATTGATTTTTGAAGAAATAAAAATAAGTGATTTACTTATGTGTATAGTGTTGATGTTTACATAAGGCCGTTAAACTAGATTTCTAGACTCAAGGAAGAAATTTACAAAGAAACCAAAATACGCCTAGAATTTACATCTCCCTAAAGCTGCTGAGTCATGTCCCAGGTTCCAGAGCATTCTGGAGAGAAGGATACACTTGAATGACAAATCAGAATTTTGTGGTACTTTATAAGTTAACATATTTGAGTTCAGTTTCTAACATAAGAATAATTATCTTTATTGGTGATTGTTTTTATCAAAAGGAAGATTTTGAAAGAAAAACACAGTAAGCACTCCGATTTTTAACCTTTAAAATAATGTTCACACGTTGCTCAATAAGATTCCTTTTCCTGTATAAAGAGGTCTGAAGAGACTCAGTTATTCATACCTAATTCAGCCTATATGTATTCTCATTTCATCTCATGCTTATACTGCATATGTTCTCTCTGAACAAAGTTGTGTTTTCATTGTAACTGATGATTAATTACAAATATCAGATAAAATTTTGGGGGTTATACCATCTACATTTGTTTTATATTTGGTTTTCAATAAAAATGAGGTAAGGTCTGGCTGGTGTGGCTCAGTGGTTGAGTGTCGACCCCTGAACCAGGAGGCCANCAATAAAAATGAGGTAAGGTCTGGCTGGTGTGGCTCAGTGGTTGAGTGTCAACCCCTGAACCAGGAGGCCACGGTTCGATTCCCAGTCAGGGCATATGCCCGGGTTTCGGGCTCGATCCCCAGTAGGGGGCGTGCAGGAGGCAACCGATCAATGACTCTCTCATCGTTGATGTTTCTATCTCTCCCTCTCCTTTTCCCTCTCTGAAATCAGTAAAAACATTTTTTTTTTAAAAAACACTGAGATAAATACAAAAATTTATGTGTATAGTTATAACTACTCAGCTACTTTGTTAATACAGATCTCTCACATAAATGAGTTCATTGGTAATATTGGCTCTATTTAACTTGCAGTTATGTAACGTTTAATGGTTTCTTTACCCTTGTGTAGCTTTGAAAATATATACTGTGTTTGTATTATAGTTAAAAATACGATAGGTTTCTAAATATGAAAATTAAAACACTTCTGTTGTTTGATTGATAGAATATTGTTTAAAGATAAAGATCGGAATTGGGATGAAATAGAAAACAAGTTGAGAGCTGAAAGTGAAGTTCCCATTGTGAAAACCTCAAGCATGGTACGTAGCGTTTCTTAGCTGTAAAACATTTTAATAGCAGCATTTTATTTTAAGGGCATGATACGCTTCTTTTGGAGCTGTTGGGTGATACACATTTTTAAAGGGAGATACAAATGCACATGTTTTAGAAACTTTATGCCTTAAATCGACTCTCACGGGAGTTTAAAATATTGATTGCTTCCAAGTTGCAAAGGGTATGTTTCTTACTGTTATGCATTCCTGTTCTTGTAATAATTATGCATTATAATTTGGAAAACAAGTTGACGTGAGTCGTTTCCATTTGCTTAATAAGTTGCTTGTTTCCTCCTCAAGAACTTGTGTAGATTTTTATTGATCAGGGAGTCATCCTGAAACTGAGGTTGGAAGCTTACGTGTTCTTCCAAAGAAAATCCCATCCTTGGGCACTTCTACAAGGTTGTTCCAAGGTTGATCAGAATCAGTTTTTCAAAATCTTAACTTTGAGCTTCTCATCTCCTGTCATCTGATTGAAAAAAAGTGATTTTATTTTAAAATTAATTTAAAGATTTTAAAATTTGAATCGTGTTTGCTGGCTGGCCTAATTATTTTGTGTCTTGTTGCTACAAATGTAGTGCCATGTAGATGGTGTTAAGCATTCCAGGTAAGATGAGCCTGAGAGTCATCGCCTATCAAATGAAAATGTTTTCCGTGAGGGAAGGTGATTTTTGTCATTGCTTTCCCTACAGGAGATTTCGTCCATCTTACAGGAGCTGAAGAGAGTTGAAAAACAGCTACAAGGTGAATTTACTACTGAATTCAGTAGAAAGAACTAACAATTTGGGACAGTGCATGCTAAGTGGTATTTCTTAGAGCAGTCTTATTATTTGAACATTATTTGATTAAATGTAATGACGTGAATAAAAATATAGAGTTGTGCATATCCAAATTACTTCTAAAAAGGAAGTTTAAAGCTCAGTATAAACAGTTTAAAAGACAATAAAGTTAAATCTTGGGCATATTGCTAGATGTTATAAATTAATTTACAATATTATATGTATTACCTATTATATATAAATATGTGAAAAATAAATAAAATAATATTAAAATACATGTTTGCAACTGAAAATACTTAGTGACAGCATCGTTTATTTGGTCTGACAGTTCTTAAACCGCATTTGTGGTATCACCCAAATGGATTAGCCTTCTAACACCAATGGTAATTATTTGGATGAACAAGCAGTGAATGCATCATGTTGGCCGTCGGGCCCAGAAGAGGGAGAGAAGAGAGGCTGTTTGCCTCCTGAACTTTGGCAGAGACAGTGCATCGTTGTGTGTCAGACCTTAGTCATGCATTGAGGCCTGTGTTGCCTTCACCCAGAAGTCCCAGTGGTACCAAGGCCCATTGAACTCAGTTTTTATTGCTTGAACTATCAGAGGCCTAATATGTGAGTCCTACATAAGTGATTCTCAATCTTTATTCAGCCTCAACACACTTCAGGGTTCGGGTATACCCCCGTGAGTGAAAGGCACTTGCTCACATGACTGTTAGCTGGTAGAACGGGGTATACTTTTAAAAGGACCTCGTAAGGGATTCTCAAGCCTATAGTGCTTCCTCCCAACTCCCCGCTCTACCCAATGCCAAGTTGAGAATCACTGCCTAAGAGTTTTCCTTGTCCACTCGAAGATCTTTCGGATTGAAAACTGGTTTTAGTTGGCCCTACCACGGAGATAGAAGGGGCTGTGTGGCCTGCTGGGGCTGTCATGGGCTGTTAGTGTCTAGGCTACATGGGGGTCCTTCTGGCTTAGTGGCACATACACACTTGCACACGGCTGATGTCCTGGCCTTCTCACCAGCGTGAGTGACAACATCCTGTGGGAACATTCAAGGATGGGCTCGTGCATTTTAGTTTCCCCAACCTTCAGGTTACTCTCACCCCCACCAGTAGCAACTGATCCCCAGTGATGTGAGTGATGAATACAGCTAGGAGTGTTTATTAAAACTATAACCAATATTTTCATTTATCCTCTTAAAATAGTGAAAGCAAAGTTTAAAAAGATCTTTTCTGAATTCTGCATCTCCAAACCCCGGCCTTCCAACAGGCTCTGAAATGCCCGTGAGAAAGCATGGTCTACAGATCAGCCCCAGAGTGATGGAAAGTGGGGTTTTCAAGACAGTATAAAAAGGAATAGCCAAAATTAAGCATCAGATAAAAGCATCGGTGGTCAAAACATTGCCCAAAGCCGTAGGCAGCGTTCACATCGACAGTTGTCATTTTCCTTCTCTCTGTTTTCCCTGCAGTGATCAACTCTATGATTGACCCGGATGGGACTTTGGAGGCTCTGAACAACATGGGGTTCCCCAGCGCCCTGCTGCCCTCGCCGCCCAGACAGAAGCCCAGCCCGGTGAACAACCACGGGAGCCCGGGTCCGGCACCGTCCGTCTGTCCAGCAGACGCCAGGCCCCCGCACCCCACCTCGGCGCCGGGCCCGGGCGAACTGGAGAGCGCGGACTCAGAGGCCGACTTCAGCATCCACTTCAACAGGTTCAACCCCGACGGCGAGGAGGAGCTGGCCCTGCCCCAGTGACCCGAGGCCTGCGAGCAGCGCCGTGTCCGCGCAAAACAAGACAGCTTGGTCAAGTACAATCTGGTTCTCTCTGGCTTTTTCATTTTACTTATTTATTTTCCCCTCTAATGCGGTCTCGCATCCGCCCACCCAAACCACCTAGGGGACCGCTCGGTGCACATGTAGGAAAAAGCACTTCGTGGCGATTTGCACCTTCCATGGTTTGAGGATCTTCAAACTGAATTATATAATTGCATCTTCCCCCCATAGATCTTTGTCTTCGTTTTTGGTTTTGTTTTTAAGCTGTGCTGTGACCTACAAGCAAACTAAACTCAGCCTCTCTGACCCCCATGTCTCCCGTGCCACGCTGCTCCCCAAAATGGACTTTTTCTTCATCTGTACAGATTTGTTAAACACTCACCTTTGCTTCTTAACAATAGGGTTTATATTAGTGCCCATTGCCGTTGGATACAGTGGCATCTAACCCTCCACAGTCCAACTGGCCTTTCAAAACCCATTGTCACGTTCTAAAATTTTCCAACCTGTATGTGATTTCTATAACTTTGTTGCTACGGAAATTGTCTTGGGGTTTATGGAGATGAACTATTATGTTTGCACTAAGATTTGCTGGGAGTGGTCGGTGGACATACCTACATGTCAGTACGGACTAACCACCTTTTTTGTACATAGGAGACTGATGATACTGTATTTGTTTTAACCCCACAGCATTTTACTCCACTTTCAAAAAGATGAATTTGGCACTTTTTTCAATTTTCTTTCTTTTTTCTTTTTTCCTTTTTTATGGAAGTAAGATTTTGTCTCTCATTTTAGGGCAAACGATAATTAGAAAGTTTAAACTAGATGGATAGTTTAGGTGGAGTATAGTTTTCAAACTACGAACATGTATATTGGTCCTGTGTTACCAAGTTTATATGTGACAGTTGGAACAAAGAATCCCCTGGAAATGATCATGAAGTTAAAATTTTCTTCATTGGGAGACTTGGAGAACCAGTAGTCATAAGATTAGTTGATAGTTTCACTCCCAAGCAGTGAATTGCTTCTGTGTGTTTCCCTGTAGGACCCGATAGTAAATCCTGTCTCTGTCTGTCTTACTCACTTCTGAGGACCCTGCAAGGCGACAACGACAAAGGCTTTGGGCCTGTGCTAAACAGGAAGCCTGTGAAAAATATCTTCTATACGCTTCTTTCTTTCCCTTTCCAGTAAGGTCACGTCTGGATAAGTTTAAAAAGAAAGTTAATCTTTGTGTTTCCGGAACACTATAATTTGGGTGACTCTAATTCAGTTAAAGATTATTAGTAGACTTAGAGTTCCCCCTTGACCCCACCAGTCTATAAAGGTTAAAACTGCAACCTTTGCAAATTTATGAAATGGTCTTTAATATTTCAGCAGTAATCCTGTGCTACATTTGTTTTAAGAAACGAACTGTGTACATTCAGAACTTCACAGGATTGTGCAAATCCTGGACCAGTTAATAAAGATGAAAAAAAAAAAATACATTTTTTTTGGTAGAGATGTGACAAAAAGGTCTGCTGTGTAATAGATCTCATATTTTTCTTTAAATTTTTTTTTTAAAAGGGTAAATGAACTATTCTAGTGAAGCTAAATTCCCCGTTCTAATAAAGGAAGACTGAAAAAACGGTTTTAAAGAACATGATTGGAAAGATACAAATGCTTTGAAGGAATGAATGGAACATGAACACAGGGTCAGTCCATTTAAAGAAAAGGTCAAGCAGCGTAATCACCAATGTTCCCTCTTTGATGGACGTTTGGGTACCGATTATATCCACGTGGAAGTAGAAGGCAAGGAGCCGTTTAGGAAAAGATCGGCATCTGTCTCCTTACATTATTCAGTGTTTACACAGTTTTGTTTAAATATCAACATTTGGCCTTTTACTGTGTTGTTTTTATTTTTTATGAATAATCATTCCCCTTATTTATTTTTGTTACATTTATTACTTATGTTATTTTGTTATGCATTTACAACTCCATTTTTAAATAAAGTGTTTCTGGAACTTTACACAGGGATCGTACGTTTTGTTTCTGACACCATCTGGATTGCTACTGCTTCATCAGTTTGCCAAATAGCCATTTGCACACCATTTTCCAAAGCCCAGCAGAAGAGGGACGCTTCAGCTCTCCGTAACGTGTGAGAGCCGCCGCAGGTAGGAGGTGGCGGCTGCTTTATTTTCCTTGGACGTTTCTAAGCAGGTCCTCCCAGACCAGACCTCAGGCCTGCACGTCAGGCCGTAACCTTTGGCTGGTCGTCTCTGGGAACACCTTTGTTTTCTATGCCGTTTTTCCAGAGATGGGTCCATGGCTGTGTCCATGGCGCCTGCTCCAGTAGAAAACTGGCCAGTGGCTTGAGTCACATGTAATCACAGTAGAAAGCTNCTGGATTGCTACTGCTTCATCAGTTTGCCAAATAGCCATTTGCACACCATTTTCCAAAGCCCAGCAGAAGAGGGACGCTTCAGCTCTCTGTAACGTGTGAGAGCCGCCGCAGGTAGGAGGTGGCGGCTGCTTTATTTTCCTTGGATGTTTCTAAGCAGGTCCTCCCAGACCAGACCTCAGGCCTGCACGTCAGGCCGTAACCTTTGGCTGGTCGTCTCTGGGAACACCTTTGTTTTCTATGCCGTTTTTCCAGAGATGGGTCCATGGCTGTGTCCATGGCGCCTGCTCCAGTAGAAAACTGGCCAGTGACTTGAGTCACATGTAATCACAGTAGAGAGCCGCTGAGTGGAGTTAGAAATCCTGCAACTGACCTTCACTTTTGGCTTCGGGCAGGTGATTTCGACTCTGGCCTCTCGGTTTCACTGTGTATAAAATGGGGCGAGGGGTTTGACCAGCTCATCTCTAAGGCCTGTTTCTGCTGTGTTCCTTTGATTCTCTGACCTTCAAGCGTTGTGCTCTTTTCTCTCTTCCCCCAAATTTGTGGCAGAAGCATATTTTGCTCTTTACAGCATTTCTGCTTCCTGTTATTATTCCTTCTCCCAGAAATCTTCCAGTTCTGTTGCTTCACCATAATATTTTGCTCATTCCCCCTTTACCCACATAAAGACTCCCAGAGGCTTGAGCGACACCAGTATGTCCTGGTGACAGTGGCACCGTTCCCAGGAAAATGGGCCTAGCACCTACTGACCCCTTCCACGTGGCACGCCCCCTCGTGGCCAGGGCAGCATTTTAGGAGTTTCTCTTCCCTCATACTGCTCCCTTCAGCCAGCTGGTAGCCTCCGGGGATCAATGTGGCAGGAAGAAAGCAAAGCTAACTAATTCTCTCTGGCTTTGAGGCTTTCAAGACCAAAATCCTTAGGGGAATTTATAGGACTTTTAGAAAAAGGAAACAAAGATTCTCTGGCTTTGACCAATGCCTTAGCTGGGATTTAAAGAGAGAGGGATTTCCTCCATTCTAGAAAATGAGAACCCTGGGTCCCCAGAGGGGGAGAACCTGCTACAGTTTCACAGCGGTGCCACAGGGAGACGGCAACATCTTCAAGGAAAAACTGATGCAGCACATCTGGGCACTCGGGTTTGTGGACGGCCAGAGACGTTCCCCTGGATTCGATCTCCCATAGAAGCAACAGCAAGCCTTAGAACCAGGGGATAGGCTCCCAGGATGAAAGGCCTCTCCTGGGTTACTCAGCAGACAGCTTGACACTGGTCATTCTGTAGCATATCCTGGGGAGCAGGGGGATATATCAAAAAGATTAAAGTCAAGTATCCTCTTGCCTGCAGTGATAGGGAGCTTGAAGTGAAAGGCTGGTTCGGAGAAAATGTGATATTTCTTACATATCCCAAGTTTGTTGATTGTGGACTGATACATTATATATATACATACACACACACACACACATATATATGTGTGTGTGTCAAACTATATACTTATAGATACACATTCATATCTATATAGGCATATAGAGACATCTCTGTGGCTTTCTCCGTAAGTATATATGGTTATAGATACAATTTAACCCTGTAACAATATGGTGACGTAGTTCTTAATTACCATTTTCCCTGAGGAAACTGGGAAATCACAATAAGTCTCAAGCCTCATATGTTTTTTTCTTAACTACCTGGTTACATTGTTGTGAAACTGTAGAACACCAAAGTCAAAGAGAAAATCTTAAAAATAACCAGAGAGAGGAGAGGGTTTTTTTGTTTTTGTTTTTTTAACCAAGAAATGCAACTAGACTTCTCAACAGTAACAAGAGTGAGAATGCAGGGGACTAACCCATGGTTCATGGGAGTATGTTTGTACAGAAATACAAAAGCATGTGTGCGAATGACACATACTAATTTCTGAACCGAGTTACCTCTGCAAATGGAGAAAAGAGGAAGGAAGTGGGCATTGGGTGAGGCTTTAACTGTGCTGAAATATTTTCTTTATTAAAAAAATAGCATTTTTGTTTACTAAAATAATGGAGTCAAAGCAAATGAGATGAAATATTAACTGTCATCTCAATGGTATGCCACAGAATTTCTTTTTTGTGCTGTTTTTGTATGCCTGAATTGTTCGAAGTTTTTTTAAAAAATATTTTAAGATATATTTTCTTCCCTTTTTAAATTTTATTTCTGCTTAAAGAATGTCAAATCAGTTAAAAGATTAAAATTGATACTGAATTTATGGCATGTCTAACAGAGTAATTCATCAAATCTACATGTCATCTACACTCGAAGCAGATGATAATGTCAGAACTAAATTGGCACTGAACTTCTCCTCTGAAACTGAACTATCATTACTGGAAAGAGGAAAATCCATTAAGCTCATGCAATTATAGACACTAGGGCTTGCGTCCAACATCCAGGCCTCTGTATCTCCTACGTCTTATTCAATAAAATGCATATGCAATGAAGATCTGAACTCCTGATGGAACTACAGATTTTAGAATTCTATTTTTCCTAGAGCCTTTTTCATACCTCAGTGGCTCTTTGGTCAATTTAGCTGTGATGTAGGGGGTGGACTAGAGGACTTCTCCAAGGGTCTCTTGGTAATCCATCATGAGTTACCTAACATATTTGCCCAGATTATTGCCTTAATTGACTTCCAGAATTTTCTAATTACGGGAAGTGTTTCTAGAAAACCGGAGTGAGGGACTTAGAGGGAAACAGGAAAGGAGGAAAAGTTAGCAGTGATGCATTCTCAGGTCATCTCTCTTATGGGCAATGGGAGGCTTGATCCCACCAGGGCCACCTAATGAGCCGGTAGACTGAGCACCGGAGGGGGGAGGAGCATTTATTCTCAGCTCCCACCTCCCGTTGGTCAAGAGCTGCCCACTGTGACATTAACCCTCGCACATTCAGGTGGCGCGAGCGTGAGTGTTGGGCTGGCTCCTGGGTGTTTCGTGCTCCGGCGTCCAACATCAAGAGAGAAGCTGCAGCAGACGGGAGGTGCGGCCAGGTTACATCTGCTCAGAGCTGGTCGCTGTAGCAGTGGCTGCAGTGAGGGGTGGACCTGAAGGATTNTTTCGTGCTCCGGCGTCCAACATCAAGAGAGAAGCTGCAGCAGACGGGAGGTGCGGCCAGGTTACATCTGCTCAGAGCTGGTCGCTGTAGCAGTGGCTGCAGTGAGGGGTGGATTGAAGGATGCGAGGCAGGACTTGTGCAGGATCCTGTACAAGTGCTCAGTTCAAAACTGGCAACCTCCTGGGTTGTGAAAAATTAAAGCCCACTTATCTACTCCTTTTCAAACACACAAGAGAGAATGCTGGACAAATCCATGTCACTTTGGGGCAAAACTGCACAGCAGGGCTGCTGTCTTTTCACTTTGGACATTACTATTTTTTTTATCCGTAGGCAGCTGAATCGAAACTGTTATATAAAGTAGGCCATGCCCTGGTTTTCTGAGAAAGCAGTAAATTCATTCCAGAATCCCTCGGGAGTGCACTGATACAGGGTGTCCGGAGAAGGTGCCATTCATTAAAGGCCATCAAGGTTATTTCAATCTCTAAGAAAGTATTTTTCCCCTTCACGTGTTATGTTATAAGGGTAGTAATGACACAGGCCTTCATAGGGCAATATATTGCTTAAACTGAGTCATTTATCTCAATATTCAACTTTGGGTTCTCTAAGGAGCCAAGATTTACCCTCACTGGGTTTGGAAAAAGAACAACATACCTGAAAATATTTTTTTTGCTCCTAGACTCCAAGATCCTGATGAAGACTTTGTAATAAGGCTGCGTTACAAATAGCTGACGGGGTGGAGGTCACGAGATAAAGAATTCCATTAACAGCAACAACAAAGTAAAACAAATTCCTGTTCTGTGTCCAAGAGCAACTCGCACACACGCAGACCACACTCGAATCTGGTCCTCTTACGTTTCTTTCACTTCTCCCTTGCCCTGGGATATTGTGCAATTCCTTTAAAACAGGCAAGGGAGAAATAGAATTACATCAGGTAGATGGTTTCCAATGAGCCCGTGAACACCAAGTTCCAGATGGCATCTCCAAGTTTTAATTTTGCTTTGTGCCGGAATTATTTATCGATGCCTATTAAGCAGCCAGCAGCTCCGGATTCTGGGCCGCGCATCAGTAATTCTAAATGGCTCAGATCTGCATTGTAAACACGCCCGCGTACTGTGACTGGTGTCCTTTCTGGAATAATCGGGTTTGGTTCTGCTTTGCCCGGGCCTCTTCACAGGTGGCCAGCCATTAAATGTAGAGTTTATGAAACCCTCAGCAAAGTGCAAAGGGTGAGGTGGCATTGCTGGTGCATAGTGATTTTTCAGAAAGCAAACACACTTTTCCTCGGTTTTAGTACTGTTTTGGAATTCTCTATGTTGCCTTCTTGCTTACCCGGTGGGGGCTGACCACTCCCTTCACCCTGCTTTCCGTACGTCCCTGCAGNGCTTACCCGGTGGGGGCTGACCACTCCCTTCACCCTGCCTTCCGTACGTCCCTGCACGGCCCTCGGGTTTTATAAAATGAGCCGTTTGAAGTCGTAATTGCATGAGCCAGTTTGGGGAGCAGAGTGGAGCGTGGCTTAATTTCGAAAGGTAATCGGCGGCGCGCTTCATAAAGGCC